AACCCCAGACACCCACCTCCGACCATAGTGAGGCTTTTGGAGGCTAGATTAGAAATTCCAATTTAGGTTTCGTCAGATGTGAACTTACGAGATGATCAGTCACGCGTTGGCCCGACAGCTGGGCAGCATACAGCACGATAACTTAAGCGGGAGGGGAATCCCATCAAACCAAGTCTTTTTTCGGGTTCGGGTAGTCATTCCTAAACTAATCTGCTGGGCTAGATCCAATTATTATAGTTTACTGATCAGTATTTGAGAGCAGTGATGTGACATATGTGTCATTCGGAACCGGATAGTGAACGCGCTCCGCTAGTGAGCTCTAGCTAAGCAAAACTAAAGGCTATTGATTCTCAAATTTGTGCCTGATAGGTTTTTTTTATTATACACCTAGGTGTGATGAACAGCAGACGAGGGTAAACCCCATAGTTACGAAGACCTGCTGTTCAGTGGTTGAAATCGGCAACCTAAGCCCCGGAACTTGGAGTGGCGAACCACATAAGGCCCCGATAGGCCTGATAGGGTAAATTTAGGATCCTGAAAGATCGTCCGTCACAGTAAACATATATGACACACAGAAAGGTCGGAGCCGTTGTATCCACCCCCACCCCCTCCCTGTGGATGAGTTCAGATTAAGGTGTGAACACCTCGATTTGGCAAGCTCACTATCACCCACCACTCGGGTTAACTCGGTCAAGGAATTGATGCGTGACAATTCCGTGAAGAGTAAAGGCAATCTGTGCAGCAGACATTCCGGGAGCACTTCCACAATCAACCATCCAGCGACGATCAACTATCCGTGACCGAGATAATGGTATTCATAGGTCTGATAAGGTGAAGCCCAGACCCTTAGAGCAGGATCTACATTATGCAAAATATTGTAATAACCATATAAAAATAACGCGAGGTACTATTTTAGATAAAACTTTCAACCTTTGTTGTAACAGACTAAAAATTAACGGATCCCGTTGCACGCACATTGATGAGCATGCAGGATGAGTCAAATGACTCTCACACTACTCGCCACGCCGTATAGACAGAAAAAAACTGATTGCTAGACGGAAGGTCAAACAAAGTTGCACCAGTGATTCTATTCGGTTGGATAACGAAGCGTTTCCCAGTGGATGAACAAACTTGGAGGTCAGAAAACTGTAGCTTTTGAGAGTCAAGCTATCGAAAATTGGCACTGGTGTAAATGAATGGTGTTTCGAACAATTCAAACAATTCTTCGCGCTCATCACCTCTGATGTGCTGGGAAAATGAGCAGTCCATTTTAATCATCCCTATGCCCTCATGATCTATTCCATAACTCATTTTCATTATGCTGCGTTTGACTGACAAACGAAGCAGTAAAGGTAGCTTGTTTTCCCACAACTGGGAAATAGTTCGGGATTCAATTACCTTGGATTTACTTTCCTGCCCAACGGAAAAGTTACGAATAATATCAAGTGGCGTGTCGGCAGGGTTTGAAGAATTTCAAATCATTCCCCTGACACCGGAACGAGGTCAGAGTAATTTCCACAGCAGTCCGCCCAGTTTTACTTTACAGCTGTGGAACCCGACCGTCGAGAGTTAAAAGTATCAAACAGACTATTGGGTTTTTTTCGATCGCTGGTGTCTGGGATTTATTTTGAAATCAAGCTAGTATTGCTCGTTTACCAACAAGGATGCAAGGTAGCACCGACTACAGTGTCACGGTCAACGCTGAAGAAACCCTTATTGACATCGTTTTGGAACCTGCTGAAGTTGGTGCTGTCGAAGAGAAAAAGGGGGGCAACCGTAGACCTGACTGAAAAAATAGACTTATTTAGCCTTCAAAAAGTGCACGGAACACGTCAGTGAAAGCGATCTGGGTTTACCATATTTTTAGGGATATTGCAAGCAACTACCAGCAATGAGCAGTAGAGATCAATAACGTTCACGCAACCGATCTATCCTTTCCGAGGAGACAGACATATTTGAGCAATGTCAGTATTCTATGTGCGAGGCTAGGAATCACTTCATTTAATTCGTAGAATTCAAAAAACAAACTGATAAAACAATCGTGAATGAATGGCTCATATCGGTTCGAATCAGGGTCTGGGAACTGCCCATGGAGTCGTAAAACATGGAAACACTGAAACCGTTTTTTTGGCATATCACATTCCACAACGATTGCTGACAGTTTGATTTATCAACAGATTGGCATGTGAAAAAACACGGAACCAGAAAGCTTTTCCAAGACAAAAACGAAATTCCGTGAGAAAATTCCCGATCCCTAAATGACAGAATTAGGTCCCGAGTAGATTGTGCGTAACAAAACGGGTTCGATACGGACTGATAGGCTTCAGGCGTTTTGCAGGTGAACTCAAGCAGCATGAGAAGGGTGAAGACAAGCCCTCTACGGAAAGCATAAACAAGGACTAAGTGGCGGTCTGAGTTTAGCTAAAATGAAGACGAACAAGTAGGGTTGAAAAATGTCAGCAGTTTATACAGTTCGAGGAAAGTCATCGCCGCACACTTTAATCCACTATTCGAGCTGGAAAATTTGTGTGTACACACCTTGTCAGCATGCTAGATAGCACGGAAGATGTCCCCAACGCGCTCGCGAGTAAGCAACCCAGTTAGGAGAGCCGATTTTTATCATTTTAGAAATACGGGTGATCTGGTTTGCTCGGTAACCGTCCCCGGGAATTGGGACGGAGATAAGCTGGTGGACGATGTCTGAAGCATGACGCACACAGCTCGTGAATGGGTAAACGCGTCTGCGGTGAAAAAAACAAACACTATGAAACCGTGACGCGTGGGTCACTCCGGCAACAAGCACTCCGGGAATTGGTTCAGGTACACCGAAAATGTACGGATGGCATTCATTTGACTTTTACCTCGACAATTTACATTAGTTTCGTCAACCACGGTGATAAATTAGATTAACGAATGATCACACACAGTACGCACACAACTCTTCCAGCTATCCCGCCTGATAAAAGATGGCAAGGGAACAATTTTATTTCATGAAGTCTCTTTGGAGAATTTTTGAAGGGCCAGAACAGATTGAATTTAATTGGATTGCGTTCTCTTCCGGTGCGTACACAGATTGATGTGGAAGTTCGGTCAGTACAATGAAAAAAAACACTCGAGTAGGTAAAATCAATTGATCAAGGTCAAAGGTCACCGGTCACGCTTCGGTTGGATAGAAGGAACGGGCGAGAGAATACGCTTATTGGAAACCCTACCATGTCAAGGCTGGTCACAGAGTCTAGTGGGTTTACAGAGGTCCGGTATGTGACACCGAAAGGTTATGTTCTCCAAAAACCGTAACAGTTGCCCAGTCTTCTGTCGGTTTCGGGTTAACAAAAATTTTCCAGTCCCCTGAATGGCGGAAAGAAGAGCTGGAGGAAAACTTCCACAAGACCTATTCTTTTGTTTGCTCATGTTCGGCAAGCTATATAGGTCGGACGACCAGGCAGTCTTCTCAAACAATCAAGGAACACAAACCGGCTTGGTTAAACACGGGAACCACAAGGATAATTTCGAATGCAATCATGGCGCACCTCGTAGATACCGCACAGCAGATAAATGAAGATGCGTTCAAAATCATCTACAAAGGACCACCAAACCCCTCCGACAGCGTCATCTTGCGACAGCAGAGGCAGTAGCAATACAGTTACTGCAACCAACTCTATGTTCACAAAAAAACTTGATAAAGCCTACAGAAACTCTGGCTCAGACCCGATACAGACGGGCAATTCACCTATGACCTAAGTGTGTGACCTCGCCCTTCGTGTTTCACCCCTCTTATCTCCCTTTTTTCTTTGTTTCCCGATTCCCTAATCTAAACCACGAATTAACAGTTTTTGTTTTCACGTCTTTACCAACCACTCCTCACCACTCCCATACACACCAATCAACGCATATTCATTCTGACATTATTTTTTGCACATTCGTCTAATTCATATATATATATATATATAACTGTATTAGCCAGAGGAATAAGTTAACGAAAAGGGGCTTGTTCGCTACTCATTCTGTCAAGGACAATTTCTGTCGGTTCTGTCATGTTTTTCTGTACCTTCAGTCTTCAGGGCAGAGTGTCCGTGTAAGCCCCATCACCATTGGGTCGAAGGTTCGATCACAAGTGTTCGTTCCTCCATAGCCCCTTCAGGTGCTCATCCA